ACACTTCACTCTGATTGGGCAGAAAAACACAAAGATTTTCTGGCACCAATCAGATGGCAGAACGACTGCGACCGTTTGGAACTAGTCCTGTAAGACAATGTCCCCAGGGGCTCTTCATGCCCTAACTTGAAATCGACCCACCCCCCCCTGGGTCTCCAAGGATGATGTGAATTGCGACTTATCAAATTCCGATTGCAAATCTTTTTCGGGCGAAGTAGTCGACTGGTTGCGCATCATGCCCTGCTGCTATTGGTTGGCTTTTATCAGAGAGATTAAGTATGACGTTTACGGCAAACGGGAAAGGTAAAGATGACCACGATACCAATTTTTCCCCATATGCTATTTTTTGACGACTGCCGTTTGATCTCTGGCGTTTTCAACGTGAATGGAGGACGTTTAATCGTGTTAATTAAAAATATGAGTGAGAATCGAATTTTCTTATATTCTCCTGTTCTTCAAGGCAAAGCTTCTTTACCCTTTCTTCGGAGGAAAAACAACTGTCCTGTATTGACTTTACCTGAAAATTATCGCCATGAGCTACGTACGCTGTTCTTTGTTTTTAGATCGTGTCACTAAGTTTCAACAAATTATAAACAATTTTGTGTCGAAATAGTGACTGTTAAAGAAGGACGATTTGAAGAAGTTGCAAGGAAAATTTTAGAACGATTGTCGCATCCTTTCAAAGTAGAAAAATAGCATGTTACTCAGGCTTGTTTTTGTAGAAGATTCTTGCTAAAAAAATACTACTTATTTTTACTTTGGGAGATTAAAACTTACTTATAAGATTATTCTTATTTCAGTGGTGCGGCTTTAAGTGACCGTTTAAAAAAGGTGAAAGACACTGAATACAAACAAGCCTTTTAGACCTAATAAGATGAAAATTACAGTGGATTAGGGGAAACAAACCTGGGACTCTGGCGACCTACCGCTAAATACAGGGTGACCGCGGTATCTAAATACAATATTGAAATATGGTGCCGCTTAACTTGTACAGGTTCGCCTGTCGTAGAACCATTTAATCCAATCTCAGTACTTCACCAATCCTTTACTTTGCAAGCATATGCGAAAGCGATCCAGAGCAGACTGATGGTTGGAATGGGATGATGGGCCCCAACCGATTGATGGTACATACTTGTAATTAAGATCTGAGCACAGATACCTGAGCTATGGACACAATGTCAGCATGAATTTTTTCTACACCCCGTGGCCCGCATTAGGCAGTGACCCTGTGCTGGGGTGTAGGTAATTTCACAATGCTTACAGGTAGGTTATGTCGTTTTATGGAACCAAGTGCCGACATTGTTTTCTCCTTACTGCTTCAAGTTGGCACAAAAATAACTTGAAATTTGATTAAATAGGATCAGATAAAGACAGTTTGCGAAATATACAAGTGAGTCACAGCGAAAAGTCTTCGAGAATGCGGATATAGTACGGTACTTACGCGCCAAATTAGTGTGATTAAGACACTAATAGATTGATTGGAGTGCTTTATTTAAGTTAAAGGCATACAGTTCTTAGGTTTTTTTTTTCTTTATTCTGAAATAAACAACAGTTACTATTCTCAGACACACCTAGAATAACTACAGAACCTCTCCGACTGCAAGTGGCTACGTTATAAAGATTCCTTTAGAGGTGATCTATTTCTTTTTTAAAAGGCTCAGCATTGAAACATATGATTACCTGCACACACATCGTTTTCGTCTTTAGAATCACTTAAATAGCCAACAGCTACATAAAATAAATAAATAGTTGCACTTTGTGCCAAATAACATAAAAATCAGCCACTAGCTAAATCGTCGACAAAGTTTGCATATGCCTCTTTTAACTTGATCTGTTTTTAATCAGAAGTATGAGCAGATTTCCGTTTGCTGTTAAATAAAGATTTACCTCATCCATTGACTAAAGACTATCACTAACGCTATATTTTCGGAAAAAAGGCGCAAATCCTAACTATATTTAAAATATTCAGATTTATTCATTCTCATAACCCCTGATTTTCAACAGGCTCCAGTTGTTTGTAGATTAGATGACGTTATCCACCGGATAAACCTCTATCCGGTAGATGCCGCGCAGTACGTTTTGTTATCACGTATCCGCTGGATAGCCATTCACCCGTTGAATAGCGTCATCCGCCCTTTATACATTTGGGCTCAGCAAGTTACCATTTCAGAGAGTTTTGGTAATGAACACCTTTTCCAGAAACATAGCCACCTTAATCGACACCTCAAATGTTTGATTTCTTTGATCATTTAAAATTTGTTTCTCTTAGTTAACGACTCCGACGAGAACTGTCTGAAGTTTCCTGAAAACCGTCGACTAAAATGGATCATGACTGTGGCCTTGAAAATTGTTTTTTTTTTTTTTGCAGAGTATTGTTGAGAACCAAAATAGAGAACCAAATGTACTCGGACATTATGCGACTCTGCCATTAAGGGCACACACGAATCCACGGTCGTGACGGACGTCTTTTCGGGAAGCAATTCGACTTCGTGAGCACTAGCATTCTCAACAAGACTAAAATAACGCATGCTTATAAATTAAAAACTATATAGCTATTTCTTAGAATAAGTTAATAATACTTCCGCAGGACGTCAAGCTGCTCAGCAGCCTGCATTGACCATCGTAATATATCGTCTTGTTATCCAATTCCTCATCATTACATGCGGGGAAGACACCAAAGTGAAAGGGAAGGGAACACTTGCCTTCTCTCTTTGAGACGAATTCACACATTGTTTTCACTTGTAGTGAACAGGAGAAAAGGTCAATCTATATAGCTTCCGAGCCATCTTTTTAGAGTTACACCTTGCTGATCTAAATTTATTACGAAGATAGTACTTAATGTCCTTTCAGCTATCATTTAAATTGCTAGTCTGCTGTTTTCCAACGAGGCAAGTATCTTTCAGTGGTAATGTAAAGCCATCGAGCAACGTCTTTTTTTGGTCTCATTAAAGAGAGCTAACACCTCTTCCTTTCCTCTTTCAAATATGAGTCCTCCCCAGTACAACCACCTCCCTCTCATATATATTGTTTTCTCTTGAAACATGTGTAGACCACTTACATATCAAAAGGTAGAAAAGTAAATTGTGAAGCATACATGCCGGCTTCTGCACGTTCCACTCTCCTAAACTTGCCGTTACTTTTAATGGCGAGGTAGCCCGTGTTGTTATAGATATTTAGAATATTGAAAGGTCTGTAAGTTAAGTAGTGGTTTTCCTCCATGTGCTCCACAAACAAAGAATCAGTGCTCAGGTTCCCCTGAAAGAGGTAAAGAAAGAATATTAATGAATCCTTTGGTTTTTATTGACGACATTGCCACTCAAATATCTTCCCTGAAATGAGTTAATCTTTCCCCGTTGAAAGTCTTCTTCATGAATGAATGAATGAATGAATTCCTTATTTATATTGCGCCCTTTCTATACAATATTCAAAGGCGCAGTACCCCCCATCAATTTGATAGACACTACACAAAGATAGATCACAACACCGGGCACTACGTGCCCTACTCATTTCGAACAGTGTGTGGGTTCTTTAACGTCCCACAAATTTTTATCACATATAAGGGCTTGTGAGACGGGACCTCCATTTATTGTCCCTGTCACGCGCCATTGTGTATTATTTTGGGGTTTGGTGTTGTTCGGGCCCGGACCCACAGTGGGAGGATATCACGCCCCCCAGTGAGACTGGACTTGTGATGGGACCACCCTACTAAGGACATTTTTGTTGCGTTAGTATTATGGGATATAGGAACATGTGCTTTTCGCTTGAAGTTAGCAGTCTTTTCGTTGGATTTAAAGGGGTGATTTAAACCGTTATCGAAAGTTGAAGTTATTTAGTAATCTGAACAAAACAGGTGTAGTCCTAAACCTCCGGTAAAGCTATTCAGCTTAAAGAAACAAAGGTATGGAAAAGGGAGATTTGTATCAACGAACAGCTGCAGTAACTATCAGATAAAAGCAGAAGTTATAGATGCATATGAAAAATGCAATAATTAGGTAAATATAATACTATACATAAATGCGCTTGGCGAGAGGTCATTGTGATACTCCCTATGTCAAAGCTGCTAAAGATTGCGATTGGGCCAATATAAAATGACGACATATCATTTTCTCTTACTTGAGCCTAAATTTATAACTATCAAAGAAAAGAGTGACGCCTGATACTTACCCTTCCAATAAATCGTCCTCTTTTTCTGCCTCTTAATTCACATGCTAAGAAATTTTTGCTCAAAATTCCCTTAAACCTCTTCAAGGTTTTATTATAGCTTTGCATTTCAAGTTTGGCTGAAAGGTAAAAAAGGAGGAAATTAAAGTTTTGCTTCTTAGGAATCATTTACGGGAGAGAAGCGATGAAGTTTGGCTGACTGCAATACTGTAGGCACATGGAGGTGAAACAATTCAAACGTATAACTTGGAAATGGCAAGCTAGTAAAGAACGTGGCCAGAACAATTTTCTTTTGAAACTTGCAAAAGATCTCTACTGGCAAATATGATAATGTAGTAGCATAGAGACGAAAATATAAACAAAATTATTGTAGCCCTGTGTAAATTCCACGTTTAATTTTTTTCTTTAGAGTTCCACAGCGTCGTAAATCAGCCTCTCTACCTATGTCGCTCCACGTCGCTTCGAAATTCTCTGAATCTTTTGCAAAACCCTTTGCGAGCTTTACGAACAAACTTAGATACTAACTTCCCGAAACTAGAGTTCCAAAGTACTTATTGAAAAGAAAAACGAAAAAGGTCACGTGCACGTGAACTTGTCGCATTGCTGGAATTCACGTGCTACGTTCTTAAAATATGTTAGTGGGCACAAATAAATAAGACACGGCACCCTGGAAGACAGACACACTTATAATTTTGTCAGGGGTGCCTTCAGGTTGGTACAGTCTTCACCCAAGTAAAGTCGATAAGAAAATTCATGCAATCTAAGGTTTCCTCAAGTCAAGAGGAACTTTTCCTGGTCGCAAAAACAACCCAAAGATCCATACTGATCTGCGAAAAAAAAGCTCCAATATTTTCGGGCCAAAGTAGAGAAGGAAGCATAGCTATGTGGCCGAGACATAAGGAGACACTAAAACCTTCACTTACTGTATTCAGACGAATTGTTCATTGTGGCCTGCACAGTTCCATTTTTTAAAATCTCTAGGAAATAACCAGTCCTAGAATACAACCTGCCCCTGAGTGTAGCCGTAGGATCAACGAAAAGTTTATCCATGGCATTTGAACTTCTTGGTTGCCTTGAAAGTCCATCTTTCGTCAATCTGAATTTTGGGTTTACAGGAGTCCCCTGTACTGTGCTCGAAGACATACAGGAAACCACAAAGAAAAAACAAGCGATCTGTCAAAAAAGGAAAGAACATTTATTGTCATTTTTCTGGAAGCAACCGTAGGCAATATGGAGTGAATCCTGTGTTCTGATCGCCTACCCGAGCGGGAAAGACGGGTCCATCTTGCCCGCTCGAGATTACTCGCTCGGATCCCGCGCGAAAAAAAACTGACATGCGCGGAGCGGACTGACAAAGTTCGTAACTTTTGGACAATGTCGGCGATGAAGTCGCAAAAGGCGGTAGAGGACACGGTCAAACAAAGAAAACATGAACGACCCTCATGGGTTTATTGTGCTACAAACCGCACAGTTGGGCTTTCTTTCCCGGCTCTTGAATAAACAAGTCATTCGTGATTCGTATCTTTTTGCTATGTAATAAATCCTTTTTTGACCAAGCTTGTTCGGTCAATATGGCTGGATATTAGCCCCGTTATTTCACTGCGTTTTAATGGACCGAAACAAAGTCGAGTCGAGGTCCATACGAACGCAAAAAGAAAACTCGGCCAATATCCATATACATATATATAACTTGTTCGGTACTACCAATTCAGGTGCGTGCGTTTAACCGCGCAATTTCATAGGTCCGCCAACAAATAAACATACAATTGACATGACGCCAAGCGTGAGCCAAAAAGCACGTGCAGTCCACCGAACGTAAGGATCAAATAACTGAATAGTGAACTAGTACGTTCTGTTTCTGCATTTACATGTGACTCGCCATCATTCTGGTCCGCAAAAACATAAACTTATCACACAAAGAATGAGGGCAATATCAGGACACCTGCACCGACCAAGCTTCGTCTATTTCCTGACTAAAAGCCGGTTTTTAAAACGTTTTAGTGAGAAAAAAGCAAGATGTCAGGTATATGGGCAAGCCGTTGGGTTTCGCTCTTCATTCGGGTCACATGCCATAGCCCAGAATTGGCTCAAACTTGCCCGTTCACGTTGCTAACCCAAAATCTGACTGTATGATAAATTCAACCGATCAAGAAGCTTAATGATCCCAAATCACATCTTTCGGTCACTGAATTAAAACACCATGTTCGCTGATATTCCTTTTAAAGAAAGAAAGTGTACTATACCAAAAACTGACTGCACTTTTCTATTGTCAACATTCTAAGATATAAGGACAAATTCAGAACATTCCACTGACATCTATCGTTTCGCTCACGGTTCCAGATGAGTTCGGGCATTGACGTAAGTTCTCTGACCTGAACGAAAATGTAGACATTAAAAAATGTAGTCGATTTTTTTGTCACGGAATCTATTCCCACGAGCCCTGCTGCTTTGAATACTTGGAGAAAAAAAAAAAAAACAATTAATAGGAACCCTGACATGAAAATGAAACACCATGATCCAAATAGCCAAACTGATGCCATAAACGTAACATTCGATCTAGCAATCTCAAGTTACCAAGGAAAGCGCGATGACTCGGGTCAGAAGCTCTGTCTAATATCTGTGTCTGGCTGGTTTCCCTGGTTATGACCTAAGCAAATAGTTTGCATTTGAAGCTAAAAGCCCTGTCTCATAGATCTACGTCTGGCTTGTTATTGCCTGTTTATATGAAAAAGCAAATAGTATGCTCTTGAAGCAATATAGCCTTCCAACGTGACAGAAGACAAATGGACCCCAATTCTAAGACAATATTTATTACGAATGCACTTAAATTGTCACCGATCGTATTCCTTAACGAAATATAAAAACAACTGATAATGTTATACAGCCTTGAACTTGTGAGATACAAACGTTAAAGTAGAAACTGCTGAAATAAATTCATTAAAGACCTTTTCTTCGCACTTCTTCGTGGGTGTTCATGTCTCGTTATCATCGGGTAACTTTACTTTGACAATAAACGAAGTGTGTTACTTTCTTTTCGCTACGAAGTCTAATGAAAGACAAGTTAACTTAAGCCGATTAATCCAACTGAAGACTAGTTGAAGTTGACAGGAAAAATGTAGTCAAGATCAATCACTTCATCAGGCGCACTATCATTTGCTACGAACGCAATCAGCCGTAACCAATGGAGACGATATCTATTAATGACAGAAAATTTTGAGTGAAGTCGTCTCTCAGTGAAGGTGAGACTAATTTCAAGAAATTATTTCAACTTCATTTTGAGTATAACCCTTGGCGTTTTCCTATGTGTTCTTAAACGTTTGTTTGTGTCAGATGCTCTTCTCATTAGATGTGTCGAGGATTATCCGGTTCACTGGAGGACACCGTAGACAATAAGTGCGAGCAAATAACTTACATCAGTAAAACACAGCTTAGAAAAAAAAACAAGAGTGTAAAAACAAAACAAAGGTAATACAACGTAATACAACGTAACTTTTCTAAATGAAAATATTGGTCAAAGTCTTCTAAAATAAAGGAGTTTGTCTGAGAAAGTGATAGTGATCAACCCCTTCCCTCCCCCCCAAAATAAAATCAACAACTGTTTCTTAAACATAGTTGTAACTTCTGACGAACCAGTCAAGACGTGACTGCAAGGTCGGTGAAAAACGCAGTCAATTTGTCACGTTCACTCACGAAGTAAATGTTTTCAAGCGACAAGATTTCTTCTAAGGTAAGTCACCTTAACGTACCAGTAAGACACTCAAACGCAGCAATGCCATGGCAAAACAACCGTAGCTGTCGTTTGTGTGTGCCGTCGAAGATGACGTCCACCTTCTCTTCATGGGTTTTACTCCTTTGATGAATAACACCTTCATAACCAGTGTTCACTTGTGTTGTGTATATATAAAAAGTAAAATTTCCTAATTACTTATAAGACCGGAATATTTTAACCCACATCAATCATAGGAATTAACTTTAAAAATCCCTTTATGGCATCTAAAAATTGTAAAAGCTTTCCTCTCGGAAGTGATCACCATAACAAGTCTTTAATTGTCAATTTTCATTTCTTTCATTTTTTGCTCTTGACTCTTAAGAGGTCTAATAGAGTCAGCAAAGAAGAATAGTGAAACATAACATCGTTAACGACTTTAGTTCAAAAGAGGCTACACTTAGGGGTTCCGCCCGTTAGTTCACATTTTACACACAACAGGGTGCCCAAAATCATCATGGAACGAGCGGGATCAAAGTCTTTTACGTGCAAGATGGGGGCTTCCTTTTAAAATCCATACAATAATCGAATCGCTCAACATTCCTACATATTCTGACAAAGCCATGAAAAGCTTAAAAAAAACACCTGTAAAATCAAAGTGAAAAGTGACATGTAATCATTGGTGAACAAACTAAGGCGTAGAGGGCAGCAGGAAGTCTAGAATAGTGAAATCGATCGTTCGGGATAAAACAAGTTCATTTTAGATGGACAGACGACGTGCTCCATTACATAACCCTGAAGAAATGACACGTCGTTGAATACATTCCCAATGATGGGAGGGGGGGGGGGGAATTGAGTAAGTCCCCTAATTTATCCATTTTCGCAATGAACAGCTATTTACAAAGCCGCTTAGGACAATTGATTGAAATAGCTACCACTTGTAGATGTACAAGTTTGCATAACATCTATTTGTGGTGACCTTGTGAGAAAGTTTCGCTAATCATCTTATAACGAATGAAATGATTGGTTTTCCTTGGTTCAAATCTGCAACTTCCCTGCAGAAATTCAATTACTGCTTATCTACTTTTTGCAGTCCCAATAAGTCTGATAAAAAAAAAAAAAAAAGAAAACAGAGTAAAGTACTTTATTAAAGAAGGTATTCCAAGTATGTTCAAGTACTTTACGGAAACAGAAGAACTTTCGCATAACAGACCATGCGGTTGAGAGAGGGCCTTTCTTAGTTTGCTTTACAATGTTTGAAGTTTTCCATTTTAATTCGATAAGTGCAGTTAAACCTTGGCAAAACACTTGATCCTACTTAAATTTTCAGTGGTTGTCTCCCACAACGAATATCGATAACGGACTTCCCATCATTATATGAAAGTGAAAAACAAACTTATAACATTTTATGATACTTAAATTAACAAATTTCTGCTCTACCGCTTCCGACCTGTCATTTTTTACTTCGAAAAAAACCTCTACACTCGAAGGTCGTGGAACAGTAACGAATGTCGAAGGATACCGAGATTTGAGTGTTCATTCTCACAGTGAAAGCAGGGTAGCTTTAAAACAACCGAATCATTGATGTTGTGTGGGTGTATAGCGGAAAATTATTACCCACAAAAATTCTACGCGGTTAGTTGACCTCTTGGGAAGAAAATAACCTCTGTGTTTTGTTTAAGTCTTAAAAACGTAAGGTTGCGATTTGTGAAAAGTATGCCTTTTAAGCAGGATGAAATGTATTATCATCTATCGATCTATTGCTCTTCAAGTAAATCTCAATTTACTCCTTAATCAAGATAATTACCATAACTGTTGAGAAACTATAGAAAACCACCCCTCTTTAAATCTTCTTGTTTTCAAATCTATTGGACGTTTTTTCTTCAGTACATAGATTCAGAGTCCAGTATCAAAGGAAGTCATTGCAACAGTCATCGTGAGAAGCTATCAAGCGCACGTACACTTTCGTTCCATGAGAGTATCAACTCATGAAGATGGATTTTACCTTATCACAAACCAACGGTCTAACAAGGATCACTGAGTTTCAAATGTTTAATTTGAATGTTTACGAATATAGGAACCACTACACCTTTCCCTTTGATATCAACTATTAGCGGATTTGTGGTTTTCCTAGATTAATCTAGCCCAAGCCGGAAAAGGTAAAGGGCTGAAACGTACAAACTGGTTTGGAAACAAATGACTGTCAACGTGGCAACCTATTTTAATTTATTTTAAGGGGCCATTCTATTATTTCCCGAAATAGAGACTTCTTACATTATTGCACGTTTTACTTTCAACTCATGTATTACGGTGATCCTTATCAGTTATAAATTGGTTATCACGATCACGAAAGATAACATAATAGGCTTCCCTGGAGAGCCTCTTGATATTCCCCTTGTGGGAAATTATTTTTATCCTTAAAATCAGAAAGTGGAAAAAAATTTTTAAATCATTAAATTTTTCTTTT